TGAAGGTAAAATTATCTCTGGACCGCGAATATTTTCGCATAGCAACCTACTTTATTATTTACTGGTGGATGAATGCCATTGGAAATGCTAAAACGCATACACAGAATGCTTGTGAGAAATCCGGGGAAAGGATGAAAAAATATTTTCGGCTACACAACCTTAAATAATCAGCTCTGCACTTTGCGGCAAAAAGCCACTAAGATAAGTAGGGAGCGCTTAATAGAGGGGAAAACAACAGGGAGGGAGGTCCGAAGACGGTATTCGTTGGAAGTGAACCTCCGAATACCCGGATTGTAAGTGCACTGCAAAAAGGTCAGCAGAGATGCGCTGGTCAACCGAACACTAGACAGTGAGACCCACTTTGGAGTAAACAAGTTTCCAGCAAGAGATGACAAATAACAATAAATGAAGAGCGTTAAAATTATTTTGCGTATGCAAACTGGTTAATTAGAAGCATCCGGCTGACTTGGGAAGATTCTCTTGATATAAAGCGGCATTCTGTTCACAGAAGGGCCGCAAGTGGGGAACAAAACACGGCACCATGTTTTACCTTAGAGCTCCAGTTTAGGTCCCTTGTATGTGTTCGTGTAGATGGATAATCGGCTGTCAAGAGAGGTCTATTAACAAGGACCGGAGAAATATAATGGTGAATCAAAGATCCAAGGCTGGTGACCATGGTCCAAAGCCCGGATTCTCTCGGCACAAGTTCGGGCATAGAGTGGGGAGCTGATGACGGCCATTGGACCTTCACTTTTTGACTTTCTTACCTTATCCCTTCGACAAACCCTCCCCCCTAAATATTGTTATGTCACTGCATAAAAAAACAAAACCTGCATTTTGAGATGGATTATGTACATCATATTACATTACCCATCTTTAAACATTGTACACAAGTAACATTTACATCTTAGATACGACTTGGTAAGTACACACTGCGATCTGAAGCTTCCTCGTGTCCAAACGAAGAAAATCAGGTTTTCGGTGGGGCAGATAGGAATTACAAATCAGTGATTGAACGTGACTTTAACTTCATCAATAAGCACTGCCCCTTGAGGCAAAATGTCACTGGTTGCTTAGATAGGCAGGGAGCGTTGATGAGGGAGGATAGAAGTCGTAAGTGCGTATTCGCTGTCAGTTGGTCTCCGAATATCCGGATAGGAAGTGCATTCCAAAATGACAGAAGACATGCCCTCTTCAAAAAAACACTAGATTCTAAGGCCCACTGTGGAGTAAACAAGTTGGCAGCAAGAGAGGACACTTTACACAAAAGCAGTTAAATTGTCTCTGTACACTCGACGTTTCTGTCTACTCGTCGATAACAATAGATTCCAGTGAAATTATGGTTGTCTCTAAAAGTGACCCGTGAGTGTTGAAAGATATTCAGTTTGGAGGCGATGGTATTTCCGAAAGTTTATACTTTAAACATTTTACTCATTATTAGCGCTTATTTTCCCTAGCAAGGACGAAGCTATGAGAATAAAAAAATGGAGAAGTAGGATAAAATAGGCGAGAAACAGAAGCGGAACAGAGGAAGGTTGAAAGTGCCATGGGTATGAGAAGACTAATTGAGCATGGAAAGGGACGCCATTGTATTTGGGATCAAGTCTAGTAGGATTAACTAGTCGCAGAGATGTTATCGAAGTAATCAAATAAAAATAAAGGCAAGAAATGCGCACGAAGTTTTAGGCAAGGCATTTAGTACGACCAAAAGGCAAGTCTGTGAAATTTAGTCAAGGGATTGTTTTATGCCTAATAACATCCGCCACTTTGGCTGAATATCTTTTGGCTGCAGGTAAGAGGTGCAATTGACGAGAAAAACAGTCACTAACGCCGAAAAAAGACATCCCCTGCTGAACAAAAATGGGCCTTACTTTATCAAAGCCAAACAAAAATTTACACATGAGAGTAGTGAAGGTTGATGGATGAGTTGAAAAAAAGAAAGCTAATCACAGGACAGAGCAAGTAGTAGTTTCTAGCGCATGAATGAATGACGAATTAAATGGGGATGAGCGTGGACGGGTGAACTGATGGAAAAAATGACAACGAAATAAAATCTGAAAAATCTTTTTCATTTTTTGTGTGGTAGGGTTATTTTGCTTTTGTCGCAACTATGTACTGTCACTTCAGGGTGACGCTTACAAACTAGCTTGGCTAAGTCTCGACTTAGCAAGTGCCTAATTACAACAAATCAGTCAGACACGCCTGTTTCGAGATCGTTCCTCCTCGTTGGCAACACATCTTTCTTTATCAAAAAAAGTACGAGGTAGAAAGCGTTTTCACTGACCCACCAACCCTGGTAACCGGATGAGTTCTGTCAGTTGTCCAACCAAAACGGCAAACATGTAGAGGATGAGGATGTTCAAGGACTTTCCACCCTCGCAGAAAGCCACCGGCTTCTCCATTTTCTTGGCACTCAATCCCTCATGGACCGGCGCATCAATCCGTTTATACTCGTAGCACTTGGGCGGCAGAGCTTCTTTGCCCGTAAATATCCAAAGACAGACGTAAATAAGCGCAAAGAATAGGCAGTAAGCTAGGGGGCCAGCCGTCTTTTCATATATCCACAACAGGACTCGAGCCAGTGCCGGGTGGCATCTGCAGTTCCGGCAACAGGGACAACAACTACAGCACCAACAACAGTCGCCACGGTGGTCATCACCGTGGGCACCCTCTCCACCGGGTGATGAAGGCTTGAGATGGGCATTGGCTCGCCACGACGGTGTGAAATTACTGGAGCCCGCATTCGCCTTGACTTCTTTGTTACTCATGTTGAGGGGCAGATCTTCCGGCAGGGTAGGGAGGCCATGACCAACCCCACGGTGCTTCAATGAGGAGCCGAGGTTTACTTGATCAGTCATCACTTCCTCTGGGTTTTCATTGTTGGACTCCCGCAGTAAACAACTTGGGTCTTCGCCCTGCTCCATCTGGTTGGGAGTTGTTCTGGGTGTTGAAGTAGCCATTGCTGATGCTTTTCAGAAATTGATTATTCTTCTCTATATAGAAAGTTAAACGGGATAGACAGTCCTGTTATTAGCAACGACAACAAAATTAATAATGAAGTAAAAATTAGTGGATCGGTTCAGAGGTCTTCTGGCTGCGTAGAATCTTATTTTGCTTCGATATTATCTAACAAAAGCTTCGTATATTCGCTGTTATCCCAGAGTCTCTGTACACACACCTGGCTCAGAGGACAAAACGACCGCATTCGGGTTCAGACGCAATGACTGACAAAGACAAATATATTTCACACAGTTGTTGCACATTATCTGGTCCGCACAGTATGTACCAGGCTTGTATGGAATCGATTTCACATGAGCGTGATTATCGTGGAGTTCACATTGGAAAGAAGTTATTTTGGCCCAATCTCAATCCTAAAGTTACGTCAAAATTCCCCCATAAGTTCCATGTTATCCCGTCATTTGTCGGCCTTCCGAGTCACACATTTTTGCCTGCGACACCTCCAAATGCTTCAGGTTAATTTTGGGGATAAACGCACTGCTTTGCTACGGGAATGAGTTGCGTTATGTGGGGTATCGATTTCTAGTCAAATGTATGCACAAGATTCAGAAAAAATAATTACGGAAACCTCATGTAGCCCTCCACTAGGTGTTTAAAGCCTCCTTATCTTCAGTCATACTCCTAGGAAGGAAAGCCAAAAATGCTAATTTCTTCATGCATCGAATAAATTTCGTTACTGTGTTGATAAAGATTGCGAATATTGCGATATTTATAAGCATACCCTGCGTTCTTTGTTCACTTGGCGATTTCAAAATCAAATATTATATATCCCAGCTACCGGCTATTTATTTGTTCCTCGTGTTACCTAAGGCAGGAAGGCTTCGTTAAAGGGAGAGTGGAAAGCAGAAGTCCAAATTTGGAGATCGGTGGAGAAAAAGATGAGGAAAATTATAGGCTAGATTCTGACTTATTTATAAATCTCAATCGTTATAGTCAATTGATGGAACCTTTAGTTTTGCAAGTGAGTATTTCGTTAGGAATACATGTGCACACAGATCATGAGCATTTTGGAAAGATGCAAGAAAAGATGCACCATATGGGTCCCTCATAAATATTGTTGCTTAGTCATTGGTGATATTTAATGCGGCTCTTGCTTTCCAGAGATCTTTTTGGTCTTCGAATATATCAACCTTTTGAATGCCCTATATTTATGGATGAGAGGAATAATATGAGTGATAAAATATATGTCCGGCATTTCCTACTCCTTTCATGCTTTCTTCCTATTTCATGAATCATTTCTAGATCTCGATCGAACGTACCACCTTTTAACTGCACATATACTAGCATTCTTGACGGCATTCACTGCAGTTTCTCTATCTTGTTTAGTCTTGAACTAACGTTAGAAAATTATTGCAAACTGTATGCTTTAAACCTTTTCACGAATACATATACACAGTCGGTTTGAAAGAGCGGAATAATTAAAGCTCAAATACACTAAAAATGCAACATTTGACTATGCTTGGATTGGATTGGCACCATAAACGAATAATGTCACCTGACTTGTTTTTTTTTTAATTTAACGGGATGTTGCTATTTATATCAGGTTACGTACTTACTTACTTATATGTACGTAACATTATTATTCTCCATGACCATCGAGAATATTTTCTATTATTGCCTTGTTATCATGGATTTATGCAGTTTGTCTCGCATATCGAAACAGAAGAAGCAGTCAAATGGGGACAAAAGAGTAGTTATCCATAGAAACGACCGTACTACAATGTTGGTCTTCGTAAATGTTGGTATATGGGAATCACCAGTTTGCTGGTGGCTTTAGGATTACTTCAAATACATTATCGAAAGAACAGTGCAATGTAGCGTATGGCGGAAGAATTGTTTTCTTCTGAAATATAAGCAAGAATTGATTGTTTTCCGTTAACTGTGAATGTATAAAATTAAATTTTACTTTATACTAAATGCTAAAGATTGCAAAATACAGTAATCAGATACAAAAATATATGTAAACCTTTAAAAAATATTCAGATCTATCCTAGGCATAATCTTACAATGTTCAGGTCGGACATCTAACAGCTCATCCGGGGTCGTGTTAACTCAGTGCTGTATATAAATCCAGTGGGACTTTCTGTCCGACCATCGAAACAGTACAGAATAACAAAGTTGTCTTGGTGACTGCAAGAAGGTATGCACTTGAATTAACTTGCATTTCTTTAGGGATAGTCGATGAAAAAATAACTTTAGTTAAGGTATTTACACCGAAATTTTTCGTGTACAATTTGTTTGCCTTATCTATAAAAGGATGATCGCGCACCCAAATCCGGTGGGCACCGTCGTTCGCAGCAGTACATATTTATTGTGCTGCTGTGTGTGCCTGCCTAAACAAAAATGTTGTGCTTCATTTGTCAGAAAGCATATGGCCTTATCTGCTGTGTCTGTCGGAATTTGCTTCGTGAGTATGAACTCCTCACCATTACCCTACATGCTGACTTGTTGCCTTAGGCGGGTGTAGATGCAAACCATTCGCTGTACACTATCTTATGAGAGGTCAAGCCTCACACTCAGGTAAGCTGTCAATGCATGCGATAAGATCACATACTGTTGCGAACTTTTCTACCGCCAAAATCTCATCCCTATTGAGCGAAGAATAGGGGTCGTCTTTATCAATAAAGCCTCGTCTTCACAGTCAGCTGTCCATAAATCAGTGCATAATACAATTTAACTCAAGAGATCAGTTAATCCGACTTTTGTGGACTCCAATTTACTCCCTCCTCATATTTAACCCTCGCACTCAAGCCACCTAACGCCTTTGCCTGCTTCCACCTTAGCTGTTTCCACACTTGTTGATTATAATTATCCCAGAACCCCCCTGGATCGCCTATGAAACCGTCTATATTAGATAGACTGACAGTTTCGTTATTTTACCCAAGACTTCCAAATTTCCATTTAACTCTTCTAAGAAATGCCACCAGAATGAACTGATTCAAAAGTTGAATCCGAAACCGACCCTAAGGAATGCAACGTCGTTCTAACTACTACCACGC